CCTCATTATCACTGAATTTTAATACTGTTAATTATAAAATTTTATTAGCTGTTATACAGGTGGCAAATTGAAAAGTTGGACTCTTTTAGGGAGGAAAATTTGCTGTGGGTGAGTGGTGTCCTGCATGAGCTAATCATCCAAGAGTTTGGAGGGTATCTGAGTGTACTGCATCCCTACATGGAGAGGTCCTCCGGTCTAATTCTAAGAACAGGTAGTCTGTTGGAGTTAATGGGGGATTGGCGAAAGTACCACAAACAATCAAAACACTGCTAAGTCCTGTCATCACTGAAAAAAGAAATGCAACACTTTAGTGTCTATAATATCATATTCCTATCAATTTATTCCAAAACAAGATTATAACATATGACAAACTTTAAGTAAGTTTAAAACTTTCCCTGTGCCGGAGGGAACAAAAAAAGAGAGACATTCTGTGTTTTAAAATAGCTTCATCCCAGCCCCTGAACTGCAGAGTAAACCTATGTCTGCACCATGACCATTGCTGTAGAAACTGAGAAATAAAATCTGCACTTTTTAGAAACTAGTGAGAATTGAACTAAATAAAATAGAGCTAGGAAAGAATCAGTCAGTTGCAAGTATTTAGCTGCAGAACAGAACATATTAAATACACATTTTCTCATTAAAGAATCCATTTACCAAAAAAAAGCTCTTTGAAGCTTATTTTTACCTAATAAAGGTAAAATTGAAAGAATACATTATCGGTGTGCATTTTCCTACTTCTGCATTAATTCGTTATAATGCAGATAAGTGTTTTTCATTATAAGTATGAACAATTTATGCAGCTGAGCCAGATTTGAAGTGAAAATATATTCAGCGAGCAGTAACATGTTTAACCTTTCTCTCTGGTCTCAGCCTCTCCTGCTAGTGTTGAGCTTTGTGATCTGCTCTTTCTCAGCTGGGTTTCTGTTAGCCATGCGTGAGTCAGTGGGGAGCAGAATCTTTTCCTAAGTGGCTGAATTATTCAGCTGTATAAACAAATTCATAAATATTAGGAAGAGGATTTTGGTCCAGAGAACATCAGAGAGGTCAGTGGGAGGGAACAACATGCAATTTGGTAAGGTATTAGCACGTAAATTGCTCCTCTTGCCTTATTGTATTCCACTTGTTGACATAACCAAGAGTGATGATTAGGGGGAAAAGCACTTGTTAAAGAATAATTGGAAATCACACCGTAAAAAACGCAACCTTTGATTTAAGGTGCAAAGGCAGGTGTGGTACAAGTGCTGATACTGAGAGATGTATTCAACAGAATGACCTACTTAAATGAAATGCTTCTCAAATACAGAGAATTTGAGTTTCTGCTCTGTTACACCAGTTTCATATCAGAGCAACACACAGTGGAGTTACACTGAGGTAAAAAGAGCATTGCATTCATTTGGGATTTTTTTATTGTCAAGGTGCAGGAGAGCCAGGGCTTTTAACGCTGTATGTTGATCACTTGCAAAGTTGATGATTCCATAACATTCTAAGGATGTTTGACTTCTGCATGAGGCTTACATCCAAATTGTAATCTTGTTGGTCCAATCAATATTGTATTACCTCCCTGGAATTTGTATTTGTTGTGCATATAATCTTTTATATACATACATATGTGTGCGCGCATGCAGGCATATTTAGGGCATCCTTGACCGCTATATAAAGGCACTCTACGATAAATTTTAAATAACTATGTATGAAAAAATATCAAACAGACAAATGATGGAGATAATTAAAATCACAGGCCTTTTCCATCCTGTTAGGAGGCTTCATCCTAATTCAGTGCTAGTAGTTAACAAGCCTGTTAAACAGCATCTCTGTGTAGTACATAGCATAGACTGGGCATATATAATGCACATCCTTGTTAGAGCTGTTCTCAAAGATGGCTTTACCTGTATGATATTCACTCAGAACGATTCCCATCTTTCATGGTAACTAAGCTCTTTTCCAAAGGAATGGCTACTGTAAGGCATTTGCCACATCTGCCCCATTTATCTGTTCATAAACTTGGTTTCATTGACTTCACACCTCAGTTTGAAAAAATCAAAACCAAAGCAATGGTGGATATCTCACTGTCCTTTGTGTTTCTTGCAAGTACCATAGTGACACCTGAATCTTTCCTGTGGCTTCGGCATCAGTGCTATACAAATAAGCACATTGAAAACAAATATGTCACAATTATTTTTTAATTTTATTTTCTAAAAGTTAGAAGCAATTTTTAAAAGTGTGCCAAACGTAAGCTAAACAAACAGCAATAGGAAATTTTTCCCATAAATAAAAGGTTCTGAGAAGTCAAAAGACTTAGCATTCAGCTAATCTTTGCTGGATATAGAGAAAATGAAGTAGCTAAGGCTACCTTCGCTCATGCTGAACGATAGTTTGGTCCAAAAATACTGCCAAATCAAAAAGAAACTCTGCAGAGGATAATTACACTGTATTTTCAGCTAACAGCTTTAGTTAAAATGACCATTTTCTTGCTACTGCTTTGATTTTATTTAAAAATGTATTTCCTTTCTTAGGTGAGTTTTAGTTCCAGTCCAGATGGATGTTTTGCTTTTGTCTCCTTAACTTAAGGCTGACTGAGTGTGAAAGTTAGGCTAATGAAGCTTCTGAACTGACCTGTTTTGGCTTCCAGTGCTCACATGCAACTGGAGGATACATGGGTGCCTGCAACTGTAATTTGTAGAAATACAGTCTGGCAGGAACTTTGTGAAGTCTAGACAGACACAAAAGACCAAGAAAGCTGCATGTCTCTTCTAGTTCTGGTGCAGCTAAGGATACTTAAAATAAGAAAAAATGCTATACCACCTTTTAGGCCTAAGTTGCTATGAGTAAAGTTGGTGTCACGATATTTGTAGGAAGCATTATAGAAAGCTGGAGAACAGTGTTTATTGTCTTACATGGTAAATTTGGCTTACGGGTAATCTGTGTGTTTTAGTAAGTTCACATGGACTGCACTAAGTGTGTATGTAGCCCAGCTAATTCTGAGTGAATTAGAAGGTCCCTGCTGAGTTCTGATGGAGTTGCCTTAGAGTTTAAATGTATGCATTCAATCTAGATGTCAAAACCCCCTAATATTATCATAAATTTAAAAAGTTATGGGGAAAAAAAAAAAGAAAACAAAACACCAAAAAGCAGGCAATAAAACTTGGTGAATTGGGGTTCCAGTTGTACTGAGTCTTGTACAAGCCAACAGTGTTACACATCAATATTTATACTGAAGTTTTTGCGAGTTGGCAAAACTGCTCAGTAGAGACTCAATGTTAATAGAAGTGGTCCTCTTTAACTCATCATCCACCAAGATGAACTGCAAACCCAGCTACAATTGCCTGGAAGTCCAGCGGAGCTTTTCTCTGATGCTTTGCTCCAGTCATCTGCCAGATCACATTTTCAAATGTTTGCACACAGAGTATAATATTATAATTTGTCTTAGGGTCTGCAAGTATTCTGAAGATGAGCAGTCACATTACTAACCAATTCCTGAAATTAAATGCTTTTGCCTATGTAAATTTTCCAATTCTGTCATAAATTCACTGTATTCACTGAGATAAAATCTCATTAGACAGACAACAAAATCTTACTCACATCAGGATTCTTTTTTTAACAACTGCCTGAGACTAGCGTCTTGTCTTGGGGGTTTTAGTTAGGAATTGTTGCAAGTTTCTAGAATAACAACAATAAAATGTTTTCACTTTTTCTCCATTCATGTTGCTATCTTCCTATTGAAGAAATAGCCTATATTTAACAAAAAATATGTAAGACACTTTCTTTTTTGAAATGATCCAGTCTCTTCAGGCCCTTTGAAAACAGTTATCACACTGGTCAACTCTTGTTTGCTGTTATGTTGGAAAAGGAAATCTTTTAGAACATTATAAATCTTTCCAATGATGGAATGATTTTTCAAAAGTGATGAACCATCACAATAGCTTTTTATTTGCTGGGAATGTGGAAGAGTTGTTATTAGACTGTACACCAGGATGTATTTTTTGTTGTTTTGGACATCTGAAATCTTTATTTATATTCCACTGAGACAACTGGAGAGAAGTGCTAATTTTAATAGTTTTTTTTCTGAAAAGATGGAAAAAAGAAATCGAAGTGGCAGTTTACTGTGGGTATTTTGTGTTTTATCATACCTGGATCGTTTTATACTCTTGTAGTTCACGTTGTATAATTGTTGAATTTTACTCTCCGAAGAGTTTCCTCCTTTAAATTTAGCAAGGAGGGATAATCTGGTGGTTTAGATTATTTCAGGGAGGTCTGCAGTTCCTCACTTGTCTATAAACTTCCTGGACAATTGCAGGTGAGTTACTTCATCTGAAATACTCAGCAGGCAAATTGTGTTCTGACACCCTTGCAGGTTGTGTGCATTTACACTGTACGGTCTCTAGAGCACGGGTGGGCTTGTGTTACACAGCATAATACATGCATACCTGTTGTTGAGGTTTTTTTGCTGATACTACAGATCACACAATTTAATGAAGTCAAGGAGTGCCAGACCTAGGCACTTGCTAATGATCCTGCTTTCCCTCACTCTGAGGGGATATTGTAGTGGCTTAATTTCTCGCAGCAGTGGCACCAACAGCTTTATGATGGAAGATAACTTGTAATTTTAAGAGTTTTATAGATGTTTCACTATATTAGTGCACTTAACAATACAGTACACTTACATCCATGAAATGAATCTTTTGTTTCCCCTTTTTGGCAGTTCATACAAGCAATACTTAACGCCATCAGTTTGTATTAGCAGAGCCCCGAGGATGATGTGATCCAAGCGGCTCATTCTTTCTCACTCTGTTTTAAGCCATTCAGAAGTGCAATGTTTCCCAAAGGTCTACCTTTGGTTTCTTTATATTCCACCCACAGGGAAAATCCTGGGATGGTAGATGACTTTTGTCTGTACTATCGCATTATATCCCTTTCTATTTTTAATACTATATTACGGACAGTATGCTTACTGTATGGGTTCACTTGTAATGAAACATTACAGTTTCTGTTGTTTCTTCTAGGTGGAGAACAGACCCAAATATTATGGAAGAGAGTAAGTAACATACATCTCTGAAAGTGGTTTATCCGGACATGTTGGTTGATAATAGTTACAGAAAAGATTGCAAGCGTTTGCTCTGGGCCCTTTGTTTCTTCTCTGTGTTTTACAGCAAGTGTGTCTTGCTCACCATCAGATTATTGCAGTACCTTCACTTTTGTCTGTCTAAAATTATAGCTGCATTTTCTGATGGATATGGATATCATTGAGTGCTACCTTAAGTGAGAAAAACATATGTTTCCGTACTTTCAAAGGGTTGTCTCTGTCTACCTCCCCCTCCAGTTGGCTTTTGCAAAAGGTGTGTGTGCAGGAAAAAAAAGATTTGGATCACAAATGCAACATAAGTGTACAATATATGTACAGCAGTCTATTTCAGACTGCTAAGGCAAAGATGGTTAGATTTAGTGTGGGGAAACAAAGCAGATCTTATTTGTGTTTATTTTGGTAAAAGATGTGTAGTGTTGCTAGGTTATTACACCAGTAATTACTGAGATTATATGCAATCCCCAAGATTTTAGCAAGTTGCCATAATATCCCTGAGTCCTGCAAAATGTTGGATTGCATGCCACTGGCACAAAACATGTGAAGCCAGCAGGAGAAAATGGATCTATTTCTACATATTAAATTGATAGATTCAGGTTTAAAAAGCAATATAATTGTTTCATAGATACTGTTTCATAGAAGCCTTTCTAAACCAGGCAGAAAGGGAGATTAATTTAAGCTGTAGATTCCTGCAAATCAGTCATTTTTATGTTTGTTTCTTTTTTACTTACCATGGTTGGTGGTTTTTAAAAGAAGAGGAAAAGGTGGTTTAAAAGTGAAAAGGCATGTGTTTCAAAAAGTCTTTGTTCCTTAGATTCCATGGGATGATCTCAAGAGAGGAAGCTGACCAATTATTAAGTGTTGCGGAGGGAAGCTATCTCATTCGTGAAAGCCAACGGCAACCTGGAACGTACACTTTGGCATTAAGGTTGGTAATTAATATTTCATTTTTAAATTTATAAAATATTCAAAAGATTGTACTGTGTTGTTGACCTTAGTCCTTAGACTTCCTTGTGATTGTTTTAATTTTTTTTTTTTGAATCATGGTCAGCATTTAATGAACTGGTACTTTTTTATCCTAGTTACAGATTTGGTATCTTTAACCTTCCCTAACCCTTTCTGAAGTGTTATTTGCACCATCAGGATAATAGCAATTGTGTTTTACTCGTGGTACTTCATTTTGCCCCTCTCCCACTATGTCACAGATGTGACCCCATGTAGACTTTGGGAGAGCAGGCAGTCGAGAAATAAAAGGCATCTTATGAGTTGACCTGACTAGTCTACTGTGTGGGTTACTTGCTAGCTAGCTAGCTGTTGCTGAAGAGCAATTAGTTCTCTCTAGTCCCTCTGTGGGATGGCCAATAAATCAGGAGGGTTTTTTGTCTGAACACCTGTTACCTAACAATGTTTGCAGATCTGTTTCCTCGCTCTGCAGAATTCTGGCAAGTGGATCAGATATAAATAAAAAACTGAAATAAAAAATAAATAGTTGTAAGTTTTAAATAGTTTAATTACTTTTAATGTAATGGAGGTTATTTTGACCTGGGCTGTACACCTAAGTACTCAGATGGGACATGGTGATTATTAGCAATGTTTTAAATCTAAGTGGGACAGAAAAGCATTGAAGGAGAAGATGCAGTTCCTGAAAGTTTTATATGGCTAAAATAAGATTACATTTAAAATAAGAATATCTTGAAATAATAGGTTGTGATGAATTAGTTTTCTTTTTCGGGGGGTGGGGGGAAAAAGGTATATTTTACTGAGATATTTGCTTCTGTAGTAATACGATTCCAAATAGAAACATTATTGACATTTACACTGGTTTGCATTAACAGTGTAAATAAATTGGTGTTGCTTATTAGAGTCTAATACTCCATTTCATCCACTTCTGCTCTTGCAATATTCATTTAAAGCCAGAAAGAAAACACTTGTCATAACACCTGGCTTGAAGACAAAGAACTCCTGCCCCTTGCTTCTGATGGTGCGGAAGGCACAGGGCCTGTAGATTGTGAAAGATGAAGCTGCTGAGCATCTTGCAGGATGTATTGATATAGCTTGTTTTACAAATGCTCCTCCAGTCCAGCAAGTCAAAAGATGGGTCTTTTCTGGGTTTGATGGTATCTCTTTCAAACTGGAAAACCTCTCTGAAAGCAATAAAAACTATTTTTATACTCAATAGAAAAGAGAATGGATAGCTCTTGGTGATCAGTTTGGGAAACAGTTTCAAATGATAGGAAAGCTGTTATCATTGATTTATTTTGAGGAAATTCAGCATTTGGCAAAACACCTCAGAATCTGGAACTGCAGCATGTTGCAGCCATTTCATTATGTTTAAGCACTAGCTGAATGACTTGTATATTAAGGGCGGTGGTCTAGATGGCTGCTTTCCATCCCACAGCAAGTAATGCTCTGTTGTCTTGCTGTTGGCCTTTAAAGTATACGAATGAGGGTCTTACCTCTCATACCTTAGGAGAAAGTTCTCTGTGAACTGCAGCGCTGTGTCTTCCACACGTGGGAATTCTACCACTAGGATTTCTCTTTCTGCTGACTAGGAAGTGTAGCAGGAGTCTGCGTTTCCATTGACTGGAGGCAGAGTTTTGCTCAGTTTCCATTTTTCCTCTCCCTGGAATTATATATGCAGAATATACCCATTAGCCAATATTCCCACTAATGTGTTGCTGACATTGTAGCACCTCTTCAAGACTAGGTAATTTCTGCGGTCTGTCTGTTCATCCTGACTGTGAGAAGTTTGCTGTGATTGCCGTGATGAGTTTATGTAATTTTACCTGTAATTTATAGCATTTTTTGAGACCATCATTTGTGTTTGTGTCACTATACTGCCAGACGTCAAAGGTAGCTCTGTCTGCAGCTTAAATAATCCCAGTAGGAATTTCAGAATGTCATCTCCATGGTCAGAAACGGAGCTTGTCAGTAGGGTGGTATGTGTGGACAAAAGCTTTCTAAGTTCAGTGGAAGACTTTGATTGACTTTTTTCCAATTTCACCCTTTCTTTGCTACATGTGTGAATCAATTTGATCTTTTCACACGAGGCTTAAATGCCACTCTGTCATTCAAGCAGTCATGTTAATTTTAAGATCACTTTTGTATGATTTTTGCTTTTCCTTCTTTACCTTTGTTTTAGCCTTTAGAAGGTGTGGGAGGAAAGAAAACTTGGTCAGCTGCTAGTTTTATATAAAGAAACAGACACAGAACAGGTTTCACAGCATTTTAGCAATGCTGAAAAGGTCCTGCAATAAATAACATAATGACAAAACATAAAATGGAATATCCGTGTTTTCTGATTGTTTTTCAGATATGCTTTGGAAAACGAATGGAAAATGTATAGTAAAATTTAGATGCTTGAGGGCTACCCATTGACTCTTGACATAAATACTTGGTTCCCTCTATATTTCTGTGTATCTGCTCAACCTGCCTCTCACTGCATGTGTTTGTTGCCTGACTTGTCTGTCTTTGACACTCTGTCAATTGTGATCAGGACAAATTGGAAACTACCTATGAAGTGTGATTGCATCATAAAATCCCTGTTCATCGAGACCTAAATGTCTTGTGGAAACATTGGGTAGGATCAGCTGCTGTTGAGACTGAGACAGGGTTGTTTCCTGGCTTGTAGTTACGGTTCTTCTGCTGGGGAGCAGGCAATTCAGTAATACAGGCGGCTCAGCACACCCAGCTCTGGCAGATGTCGTCTTCCTGTTCGTGTCAGTGTGCCTGGGAATCCTGAAAAACCCAGTGAACCCAGTCATGAAGAGCAGTTTAGTGAAACAGGATCATAACCCTTTCTATGGTAAGGTGTGATGTCTCTGTAATGAAATCTTTCCAGTCTTCATATCTGCAGTGGAAAAAACAAGCTTTTCGTGTTTTGTCCTGAGGACCCAAACGAGCCAACTCCTCAAATCATCATGCAACCATTTGAGTGCTATATTTGATTCCACCAGCTATTGTAGCTGATGTCTAAAATCTCGATGGTGTGTTCATACCATCCATTGGTGAAGTCGTTTTGAATTTGGTTCCAATTGTAGTTTTGTTTTGTCTAATATTTTGGTTTGGTGTCACTAAATTAAGTGAAGGCACTGCGTCCTCGGAATTCAAAAAGGAAGATACCCTGGTGTTTGTTGTTTGATGTATTTATTTTATATTACAATTTATTTAATCAACTTCAACATCAGGTATCTGCTGTGTTGGTAAAGTTTCTAACATAGTTAAATTGGAAGTTAGAAAAAAGGCTAAAAAACCCCTTGGCTACAAAGCAAGCTAGGTGAGAGATAAAGGTAGAACTCAGAATCCTTACTATGACTGCCCAAACATTGTATTTGTGAATACATCATCCTCTATGCTGCAAGTCTGGTAGAGGTTAATGAACCCTAGCTCAACTTTGTAAAGTGAGTATTTAGCTTTCTCTGGAATTATTAAAGAAGATCACCTCACAGAGGGCTATATTATAGGGGAAAACCAACCACATTCTCTTGTTCTGTCTCTATCCTCATTGCTCCTTCCCTTCTAGACTGTACTTACAGTGGGCATCTTCCAGAGATGCTCAGATTGTCTTTGCTCTGCACTGAAGATTTCCACTTGTTAAACAACTTAATCTCTCTAGAAGATAAAGAATAAACTGTTAACACCACAAATCATAACTCCCTTGTAGGCAGACAGAATTCACAGTTATAAAAACATGTTTTTGTGAAATCTGGAACAGATTGGACAATCACACTAAGCTACAGCTACAGACAAAATGCACAGAATGCAAATGCAGTTGGTACATGAAGGTTCTTTTATGGACTGTTCTACTCCTAACACGGCTCTTCTGCATCTCACTTCTTCTTACGTTACTGTAAGAGATGCCTTAAGTTATCATAGAGTGGGCAGATCTGGGGAGAGATCTGGGTAATTGTTTGCAAGGAGTTTCACCCCAGTTATATGTCTCTGTTATTGTATCAGCAAGTTCTCTGACTGTGAATACACTAGCTCAGATCAAAAGACCAGTTCGTAGTCCAGTCCAGTATCCACTCTTTGGCAGCTATTAATAGCAGACATTGAAAGAAAAGTGTAAGAACAAGATGAACATGTAGTAGTAGTTCTCTGGTGTGCTCTCCCAGCCTCTGAAAATTTGCTGTTCAGTGACTTGTGAGCAGAATTGTTACCTTTGCTAATTTTTTAGGCTTTTGATGGAGACATTTTTGGTTTTTGTCTAGTGGCTTTCTGAGCACATTGTTGAGCCTTCGTAGACTTTGCTGTCTGCAACTGTAGCATGAGTTCCATGCCTTAACTAGGTTTTATGGGAAGCCGCATCCCTTTTTTGAAGATTCCATCTCACAATTTTATTTGATGCTCCCTAATTTTTGTATTATGAGAAACAGTGAACAATTGATCTCCATTTAGCTTTTCCATGCCACTCACGTCCCCCTTATTCTCTTTACAGGTCGATGAGTCCTAGGCTATATATTCAGGTTTTGTAGTGAAGTTGTTCCGTACCCCTCATCATCTCTGTAATCTTTCTCTGTGCCTTTCTCTTACTCTGTGATGATCTTCTGGAGATGAGGGGACCAGGACTGCACATTGTGTTCAGGATGAAGTGGGCCATGGAGTTTTCTTTCTTTGTTCTCTAAACCTTTCTAAATGAATTTTTTACCACTGTGGAGCATTAGGCTCTGAGGCTTTTATAGAACTAGCTTTAGTAAATTTAAAGATCTTGTTCCTGAGGTGCAATAGCTACAGACATCGCCTAGCACTGATTAAATGACCAAATATAGGACAGGAGGAATAATAGCTTCTGCAGGCTAAACCGAGGCAGTCAAATATTCTTAGTGCAATACTATGGAATAGTTAACTGAGTTCAAAGATTTTTAATATTTCTTCTTCTTTAATAAGGTAGAAAAAGTGATTCTTGCCCCTAAAAAATTTTCAGTTATT